TACAATTGCTCTCACACTTAGATTTCTCCTTATCAAATCACTTTATTGAAGAAATAGTCTTTAAAATATCAAAGGAGACACTTTGCGAAAAGATTTTGTAAAACTCAATTCACCCCCTCTTGAGTATTGAAGCCACTTGTCCAACACTTTGTTGAGAAAGAGTTTTCGCGTTTTTGCGATTAGGTTTTCGAGAAGACGAACCAAATTCAAACCGTCAAACAGAAGGTGACCAGTTATCATTTACAAATACTTTTCTACAGGGAGCGGCACACTTGTCAGTAAGCCACGCTTCCCTGGTTCCAAACGACCTTGACCTAGGTAACGACCTAGAGGGGGGACTGGATGAGCCAGATCATTCGGATAATCTGATAAAATTCACAAATTTGTGATTATCAGATATATCCCAAGCTCGAAGTAAAAAATGAAACAAGATGAAGAAGTAAAACACGACGAAGAGCATACCTGGGATTTATACTTCAGATGAATCAACTACGAGCAGGACGTGTCAACACCGAAAACGCAAAGGAAACAAACGAGTGTTGAAGAAAGCAGGATCTCTTACGGTCACACTGAGTGTTTTCCCTCCAAACTGAATAGCTCAGTACAAATATGAAAAGCTTTACCAAACGGATACCCAAAATGTTACAAACATGTTGAGTAAAACGGATTAAAAGGGACACTTGGGGGGAAGGTAAAACGTTTGCATTTCAAAACAGCCCACGCTTGCCATTAAGCACCCACGTAGTTAGGGTCGCATTAAATGCTTCTGACAGTTAACATCTAATCAACCGTTTTTAAGAGGATAAAGTCATGATGACTCTTCGCCGTAATTATCGCGGAATCACATGAACGCGCCCAAAAAATCTATCGCGCACAAACACATATATATACCTCACAGCTTTGCCACATGTCAAAACTGCAAGCTAGGGGCAACTGATCTGCATAAAATATAGTAGGCCCATTAGAGGCCCAAAGACTTACAACGAAGCCCAATTTCATGAGGGCCCAGAACTAGGCGCGATGACCACCATCACGCATGACGCGACACGATGCCTCCATCGCGTATGAAACCGACCTTTGGCATAAACTTCTGAAGTAAGGAAGCTATCTTAAGAACTAAAACGAACCCACCGCGCCTTTGTACTAATAAACAGAGGACAACACCAGCTTGCCGCTACTCTATCAAGATAACCTGGCATTAACAGATAAAGCTATTAAGGCTCTAGCCAAACCTGTAGCCCATAAACGGTCAATCAGAGGCCATACCGCCTTCAGAAGGTGGCAACATAACTACTATATAAACAAAGGGTACATGCCCAGGTATGATCATCTAATTCATTAAGAATACACACACACCTGCAACTGATACTGACTTAAGCATCGAAGTGTTATTGCAGGTACCCCCCATCCAGACTCAAGGATCGCGCTAACAAAGGACCAAAGTCCATATTCTATCATCAGCAACCTCAAGCCCAAGAAGCATAGCATCCTCACCACATCAACCGTGTGTGATTAGGCCCGATATACATGGGTCGGCCCATATTGTATTTGGTCTGATCAATAATGCGCTCTAATTTTTTTGTGAGTTGATACAATAACATTTGTTTATATTTTGAATAGGAATGCAGTCCTGCCTATTTATGCTTCCTGGGTAATAATTTTTCTTTTGAGTTTCAAGATTTTGATTTTTAAATTTATCAAAAGATTTATTTTCACAATAACTTTACTTATTTTTTACACAAGTATATATACACATATTTATATATACATATTTTATATTAATATAATTTTATTATTTAATTGAAAATAATTTTGTTTTTTTTATATATCCTTAAATTTTAATTTGAACACGTACTTTTAATATGATATGCAATGTAACGAATATTTTTATTTTTAAACATTATTCAAATATGAGAAGCTCACTTTTTACATAGGTAAAGTTGATTTTGTTCAACGATATAATGCAGCCAAAATCAATGTATTATCACAATCGATTTTGAAATTAATTTTTAAATACCTATTCAAACCTCATTATATAATTAAAAATATATAAAATATGATAATGATACTTTTTATAAATCAATAATATTTATCTCTTAAAAAATTAAGTTAAATATAAGAATAAAATATTTCCTAATTATAAAAGGGAATTAAGATTTTCTTTAAAATTGGTGTGGATCCGTTCTTTTGGTTCTCAAATCAGTTCCGCTAGAGTGGTTCGGTTTATAAACCACTTTAGACAAAATTGTTTGGTTCATAAACCAGTTAAGAAAAATAAGAATCTTTTAGTGCAATTCAATTCAGTTCTTAAAATAGCTTAGTTCTTTTGGATTTTTTTGCACACACCGCCTTTACTATGGAAATTTCACAAGGGTAATGTGATATGTGCCCGTGCCAATGTGCTAGTTCATGAGATATGACCCTAAATGCAGCTAAAGTGTTAGTCTTATAAATCTACTGAGATGTTGTGGTGATTAGGGCTGAAAATGGGCTGGGCTGGGCCAAATTTTGCCCCGAAAAACCCAAGCCTACGTCAAAAAAATTTTAATTTGGCCTGACCCAAGCCTATTACGAGTCTAACTGTTGGCCCGTTTATAAAAAAACAAATAGCCTGGCCTAGCCCATTATCCTGTTAATTTTTAACTTCCAAACAGAACCATGAATCAACTCTACAAAATACTCAAATTTTGTTGCTAAACCAAAAATCATAATTTCAATGTCCAAATTGAATCATGAATCACAACAAAATTCACACAATCTGCATTTAAGTCATTTTCAAAAGCAAAATGCTCAAACTAAATAACAAATATTCCATCAGATCCAACAAACAAATCCATACTATGTAAATTAAAATAATTATATGAATCCAACAACACATCATGATGTTTGTAGTAAGTATAATCTCTTTCAAAAAACCTTTTAATATATTCATATACACAATTTAACATGTTGATATATTGGTTCCTCCTATATAAGAAATAAAGTTAGATTTCTATTAAAATATAATCGAATATAATTAAGATATAAATAATTACAATTGATTAAATTTATATCTTTTGTTTTTTTTCAAGCTATACTTATTCTATTTTATTTTATTTAAAATAAATAGTACAATATAGGCCGGCATATAGGCTTATAGGCCAGGCCTTGTGAAAGTGGGCTTACGGCCTTTTTAATACACAAGCTTTTTCAAAGCCCAAGTTCGGCCTATTTTACGAAATATACTAGATCAGGTCTGGCCTGACGTAGGCCGAGCCGTAGGCCCCTGTGGGCCGGCCCAGCCCAGTTTCACCCCTAGTGGTGATTAGACAGTAGGTCACATTACTTACTAGAACAAAATATATAGCCATATGTTTGAATTTAAATTATGCTAATTATTTGGAAATTTTCTTAAACTAAATTAAATAAGTAAATCAATCACAAAATATGAACAAGTTGACATAAGCATTTAAACTTAATTTCTAATGGGAAAAAAATGTTCTTGTTATGGGCCGATCACCACTTGCCCAATATATTTGGGTTGGTCTATCAAGGCCCATAAAGGGATCATATCCTTACTTCCTCACCATAAATACATAGACTTCAAAGTAGAAGATCATTCACCCCTACACAGTTCACTAGACTAACGTAGTGGACCATGTCCTCATGCACGTAGTGAATTATAAGGCAAAAATAGTTATGGCTTTTCTCTCTCTCATTGATAGAATATTTGTTCACGTACATATATATGCTCCTCTTCTAGGGGTGTTCGCGGTCTGGATTGGATCGGTTTTGGAAGCAAAAATCATCCGATCCAATCTCTTCGATTTGATCATGTCATCATCCATTCGGTTTAGATTTTTTTTCAAATCCGATCCGATCCAATCCAATTTTTTTCGGTTTGGATTGGATCGGTTTTCGGTTTTTTTAAAATCTTAAAATTTGTTTTATGGTTATTGTGCAAATAACATTTTTTGTATAATAGACTTTGTAAAAAAAATTTAAACAGAAAAGTAAATGATAATATAGTTTTTTTTTTTGGCAATGAGATATGAAGCTTTACACAAATAAATTTTTGTTGATGAGATATGACTAGTTTTTTTCTTGGGTTTAGTTGATGGGTTAATAGGTCTTGGGTTTAAAAAATTTTGGGCTATGATGGGAGGAAAGACCCAAGTAGGTAGAGAGGAATTAATATATTGGATCGGTTTTCATCAACCCATCCGAAAACCGATCCAATCCAATTAAAATTTACGATTTTTATTCGGTTTTTGATTTTTCGGTTTTCGATTTATTCGGTTATCGGTTTTTCAGTTCGGTTATCGCGGTTTGAATCGGTTAATGAACACCCCTATCCTCTTCTATACCAAAAGGGAAAGTAAATTATTATATTCATGAGCTATTACTATGCCAAAATATAAAGCCGAGTGCCTATTCATATCCCCTATTTGAGTCTCATCTGACATAACACTTACGATGTTTCTCTTGGAGTTTGGTCCATAATTCTACTACTTTAAGCACCCACTCATTGATATACATCATCCATTATGAGATACTGACTACGAACCTATTTTCAACTCCATAACTCCTAAGTTTTAAAAACACATGTGACACCCAACGAATGTAGCTCAGTTGGCAACACAGTAGAGTAGAGAGAAAATCTGTGTTCAATTCTCGATAAATACATTTTTGGAGATGAGCGAGTGACTAATCCTGAGTTATGGGATATCGGGAAATAAGAGAAAATTATGTTCGGTATACAAAAAAAAAAAAAAAAAAAAAGCACACGTGACAAAGAAACAAAAGGCGAAAATGCAAAATGCAAAAAAAAAATAAGTTAGGTAAGATTCAATCTCAATTGGCTTGCATGCAATTTCGTGTACAATAAGATAGCATATGGTGCGAATATGATATTATAATGATAGATTTATAGTTTATCTTAGCCATCATTGGCTGATAGCTACGGCACCCGTTAAAGTACGGAGTGACGGGGTTGGGTTTTAAATCATAAAACCCTAAACCCTAGAAGCCGCTTCTTCTACTTCTAGACTCTTCTCTTCCGTTTCAAAAATCCCACCCTTTCTTCCATTTTGTTCTGCTCCATTTTCTTTCCACTTTCTCTCTCTTCAACTAACATCATGTACCGCTTTGCTTGTAGCCTTGCCTCCAAAGCTAGGTCAGTCCCCAATGCCTTTGTTCTTTTTGTTTGTTCCCTTGATTTCTATGTTATGTGAAAGTGGAATTGTTCATCTGGGCCACACAGAAAATCTTGGAAAATGTATCAAAATTGATTTTTTTTTTTTTTAATTTTATAATCATTATTATTATATTGGGTGTTGTGTATTAGATCCCTACTTGTTGGTTGCTTATTTGTGGGTCATTTGTGCTTGATTATTTCATTATCTGGAATATCACACATGATTAGGATCAGTGAAATTGTTCTGACTGTGAATTGATGTTTCTTTAATTGCAGCATTGCTAGGAGTAGTAGCCAACAGGTGAAATATCAATTCTATGAATGGCTCTTTTTTTTCTATTGAAATTTTTTTGGAGATTAGAAAGGGTAGACCCTTATTCTCTGTTATTTCTGGTTTCTTTTTTTGTTGCATGCTGTAGATTGGAAGTAGGTTGAGTTGGAGCAGAAACTATGCTGCGAAAGACATTAAATTTGGAGTGGAGGCTCGGGCTCTGATGCTTAAGGGTGTTGAAGAGCTTGCTGATGCTGTTAAAGTAACCATGGGGCCTAAGGTAAATTGAGCGGGTTGTTTATTTCCTTGTTGTGATTGCTATTATTTTTACATTATTGCTGGTAGTGTTGGATGGGGGAAGTTGTCGTTGGTAAGGGGAATGAGTTGGAAGAAATGACACTTTATATGTATGATTGCTGATCCCAGACGTTTATTAAGTCAATTCCCCCTTTTATAGCAGAAAAAAATCACTATTTGACATAAGAATGAAAGATACTTAATGGGTGTTTGTTTTGAGTTTGAATAGTTCCGTTATTCAATAGGCATTGTTTGTGATTGTTGATGTCTGTTTCAGGGGCGTAATGTGGTGATTGAGCAAAGTTTTGGTTCCCCTAAGGTAACCAAAGATGGAGTAACTGTTGCAAAGAGCATTGAATTCAAGGATAAAGTTAAGAATATTGGTGCCAGTCTTGTAAAGCAGGTTGCAAATGCTACCAATGATGTGGCTGGTGATGGTAAGCTGATATATCCAAAGAAGATTATACTTTATGGTCAAATCTTTGCCATTGGCTACTTTGTTATTCACATAATGCTAGACTGCGTGGTTCTGTAATTGTTGAAAAGTTAGTTTGGCTTTATATATGTTAGAAGACCACATACTGACATTCAGCATGTTGGTATTATGCCATTATTTTGGGTTAGCTATGTTACTGTGACAGAATAATGAGGGAGCATTTAAAATGTTATACAGGAACCACATGTGCTACAGTCCTTACACGAGCAATATTCACTGAAGGCTGCAAGTCAGTTGCAGCTGGAATGAATGCAATGGACCTGAGGCGTGGTATAACTATGGCTGTTGATGCTGTGGTGACAAACTTGAAAAGCAGAGCACGGATGATTAGCACATCAGAAGAAATAGCGCAGGTTTGTCGGTCAAACTTTGTTAGAGCCTCTCTTGCCTTATTGCAGGAGATGCTAGTAAGGACTCTCTTGAGTTTAACTTTCTATTTTTAAATTTACATTGATAGGTTGGGACAATATCTTCGAATGGGGAGAGAGAAATCGGTGAGTTAATTGCAAAAGCAATGGAGAAAGTTGGCAAAGAGGGAGTAATAACAATCGCGGTAAGTTTCCATCTGATGATCTTCTTAATACAATGTCCCCAGAAGCTTCCTCTGAAGTGTTCTTATCTTTCCCCTCCTCCTTTTCTCACTTGATTCTAAATTCCATCTTGGCCATCCATTATTGAGTCATTTTATTTCCTTTCCTTACATTATCCCTGATTCCGAGGATAGTCAGTGGTTTGAATATTATGCCTTGTATTTCTGTCATTACGAGACCTAATTATTGAACTGTTTCAGGATGGCAAAACTTTGTATAATGAGTTGGAAGTTGTTGAAGGAATGAAGCTTGACAGGGGCTACATATCTCCTTATTTCATAACAAACCAGAAGAACCAAAAATGTGTATGTTCTCTCTTCATCACTCAAATTCACAACATTAGATTATGTTTAATAGGATTTTATGAAGTGCCTTGGTCATGAACCTTTCTCCTGCTTTTATAATATATCATATTAAACCACTACCATGCCATTTCTTATGCCAATAGGAACTTGAGGATCCTCTCATTCTAATCCATGAGAAGAAAATCTCAAGTATAAATGCTGTGGTTAAAGTCTTGGAGTTGGCTTTGAAGGTGAGCGGTGTCATACACTTTCTTTTCCTTTTGGCTTTTAAAATATTGATATTGGCTGACACTTACCGATCACCAGAGACAAAGACCTTTATTGATTGTTGCTGAGGATGTGGAAAGTGATGCGCTTGCAACTCTGATTCTAAATAAGCTTCGTGCTGGAATTAAGGTTTGTTTTGCCCATCTGTAGCTTTAATAGTTAGGTGTTAGGTTCCTAAAAGATTGAGTTCTTTGTTTTGCTGAGTTGATGTCATATATGTTGCTTGGCTGTAGGTATGCGCCATTAAAGCCCCTGGTTTTGGTGAAAACAGGAAATCTGGTCTTCAAGATCTTGCAGTTCTTACAGGAGGAGCAGTAAGTTTGCTGTTCTTGAGGTTATACTGCTACATTAAATCTTATCCTCTGAACATATTGATGATACATTTTCTTTTTCCAAATAGCTTATCACTGAAGAGCTTGGCTTGAATCTTGAAAAAGTGGATCTGGATATGCTTGGTACTTGCAAAAAGGTAAAAAAAATTCTTAGTTTGTAAAGCATTTGAATCCACATTAGAATTCTGGACCAACTATCTTGTTAAAGCTTTGAATAAATTTTCATTGAATTTCCTCCATTCTGAGCCTGGTAATATATATGGTTAATGTAGACAACTAACTAAGGTTCTTATTGTTTTAGATAACAATTTCTAAGGATGACACTGTCATTCTTGACGGAGCAGGTGACAAGCAAGCGATCGAGGAAAGATGCGAGCAGGTTTAGATTTGTTTTTACCATGGTTCATATATTCTATTTCCACCCAATGACTTGACAGGTTTAATGATGCATCGGACTTGTTTCTTGTGATGAATTTTGATAAACAGATTAGGTCAGCAATTGAAAATAGCACTTCAGATTATGACAAGGAAAAGTTACAGGAAAGATTAGCCAAGCTTTCTGGGGGTGTTGCAGTGCTTAAGGTATGCCTACTCAAGTTCATCTTGGTTGTTAGTGGTTTTCTTTTTCCCTGGTGAACATCCTATCGAGGCTTTGTAACGGCAAAAAGTAACATTTGAAACTTCCCTACTGCAGATTGGAGGAGCTAGCGAGGCTGAAGTTAGTGAGAAGAAGGATAGAGTGACAGATGCACTAAATGCAACTAAGGCGGCTGTAGAGGAGGGCATAGTACCGGGTGAATTATCAACACTGGCAGTTTTATGGTTAGTATTACAACCTCCAGTCAGATCTGACTTTAATTTGTTATCACAGGTGGTGGTGTTGCTCTTCTATATGCATCAAAAGAGTTGGATAAACTTCAAACTGCCAACTTTGATCAAAAGATTGGTGTCCAGATTATCCAAAACGCTTTAAAGGTCAGTATTTTCTGAAATGTTGCTGATTTCCTGTTTAGCTCCTTCATAGCATTTTGGTTCTGTCAGGGGTACCACTTATATCTTGTTTGAGGAAAACCTCCACCAGATTGTTTTTCTTTCCTCTCACTTATTACCAATTACTTTCGGTGTTCAATCTGCAATATAGGTCCGGATAATCCTTTAAACTCTAGTATAGTTAAGCTCAAAATGCTAATTTAGTTGATCAGTCTTTTATTACCTATTCACAAAAATAATGCAGACGCCTGTGCTCACAATTGCATCAAATGCGGGAGTTGAGGGTGCTGTTGTTGTTGGCAAACTATGGGAACAGGATAATCATGATCTTGGGTATGATGCAGCCAAAGGTCAGTGGTCCTTGTTTTCTTTTTCCCTGGTTGTGTTTACTTTTTATGTCAGAAGAAGTTCGAATTTGCTGTTATTTACTGATTCTGCTGACATATTTGTTTGTTTTCCTGCTTCATAATTAGGTGAATATGTTGATATGGTTAAAGCTGGAATCATAGACCCATTGAAGGTGATTAGGACAGCCTTGGTTGACGCAGCCAGGTAGGATGTTAAGAAATTTTCTGTAGATATGGATATATGTTGTTTTTGTTATGTAGCTTGCTTATCTCCGTTTTTGTGCAGTGTATCATCTTTGATGACAACAACTGAAGCTATTGTGGTTGAACTTCCAAAGGATGATAGAGATGCTCCAGCTATGGCTGGTGGAATGGGTGGCATGGATTATTAACCAGCTTCCATTTGATTGGATCTGGAACGAAGAACAGTTGTGCTGAACCCATTTATAGCTATTTTAAATTATTTGTTGTGAGAAGGCATCAATGTAATCAATAGTGAGAGATTAAGGTTTAGAGGTAAACAAATGTGAATTGCAATAATTCCAATGCTAGTTGGAACAATTTTTACCTTCAAATTAAGGCATTGTTCCCGTTGAAATTTTCATATTTCAACGGAGGTTTGTTCCATTCACTTTTGGTGCATCAAGTTTGTTTTGTAATAATGCATTACGGTTTTGGTAAAATATGAAACTGTCATGAGATTACATATATAACCAACAGTACTAAAAGTATAATCTCCTCGAACTTTTACTCAGCTTTAAAGTTTAATATACAAAATTCATTTAAATTATCCATCCCTTGTGATACGGACATTGCTATTTGTCATTTAAAGTGAGTCATTTCAGTGGTGTAATTTACAATTTATTTTACCTACAGTCATGCAGTTTGTTACATGATGAAACAATGGAGATTTTATGCCATAACTTACAACTTCCTTTTCCACTGCCTGTTTCCAATATTTCTTTTTCCACTGCCATAAAACTAATTTTTATCATTTAGATTAACACCATTTAAGGAGAAGGGGAAAGATGATGCAACTATAGTATCGAGAATGAGACATGAAGCAACCTAAAAAAATATGTTTTGTAAGTAATTTAAGGTGCTTGGAGAAAATGAAGAAGCCAATTTAAGCGCGGTTACATAAACAATTGGAACCTTAGAAATAAATTGGAACCTTCAGAACCCTTAAAATCATTAACAGCCTTTTTCTGCAATTGGTCAAACCCTTACATTCAACTGTTACACAAACAAAAAAAGCATTACCGTTAACTATGACTACTGACTAGTACAGCCAAATGTCTTAACTCATGACTGCTAATTGTAACTAGTACAGAATCTATGTTGTACACTAAAGATACACAATAATTTTCTCGCTTTTTCAAGCCTGATCAACACCAAAGAAGAGAGCCATTCGATCTCAGACAAGTACCATAGTCTAAAATGACACAGTAAGTCATTGGGAATTTGTAATTTCAAATATTATCGAACAATGACAGCTATAGAAGCAGAGATTCAAGGCCCTGGCACATCAAACAAAATAACTACCTTGCAAAAATATTAAGGATATACACTCAGCCATTTTAACATTAATCTTACTCTTCGGTCAGCCTCATTTGCCTCTCCGGCGATTTCTTGTTGCCGCACAATTTGAACAGTACCATTTTCCTTTCGGTTGTTCTTTCAGACCAACACAACCAAAATGAAACCACTCTATTTTGCACTGTAAATTCGAAGAGATTACCAAAATATGTAAGGAAGGTAGGTAAATTGGACATAAATATAAGAACAGAAAAGGCAAATACATACACTGGGGTTATCGCAAGCAACCATCTCTCCATAGCTAACTTGGTTGCAAAAGCAGTATGTGGGCTCGTTGGGATCAACTGGTAAATCTAAATCCATGCCAGCCGGGTTTGCAGATGTGGTTTGTGCTTCTGCTGCTGCTGCCGCCGCCGCCGTTGCCGTGACCAATGTTGTTTGGCGTGTTCTGAAGTAATTGTAAATTCAAACAATATTCAATAGATTGCAATTGTTTCTTTCAATTCTTGCTCTCTAATGTTTGATATTGTACGAGACATGAAACATAAATGTAACCAGCATGGGAAAACAAGAGAAAGAAAAACTGGAAAGCTGGAATTACAAATAAATCCAACCTCACTTCATAACATATTCAATCTGTCAATGATAATGTTGTTGCAAGACTAAAATGCAATCTGCTACTGTTATCAAGGTAGTCATAGGGAATTATAGAATGAAATTTTGATATTTTATTAAGATCAGATGTAAGAGTTCCAAATTTTATCATTATGGTACATATTCTTGAAAATAAGATTTGGCTTTCAAAATTTCCACTTCCAGGGTCTCTTACCAGAATAAGTAGCACTTGAGGATACAGGGTTTCATATCCTCAAAGTATTGGAACTAGTTGAGGTTTCACTAAGTATAGAGATCAGTAAGACTGATACGACTGTAAGATATCCAGACAACAATGTACAAGTACAAGAAAGCATCATGCGAGTATGTCAAATTTCAAACTATGTAAGGTTGTTGTATTGTAATGACATAGTCAGCTTGGATATAGAATAACTTCAACCACTAATGATGTGCATATTTCTTAACCTCCATAGTAACCAGAAGAAGCATTAACTGAAGATAAAGTGGGAATGCAAACGTGGGAGAATAATGCTCTTTTCTTTCTCCAACTCATTGACAGCTGTCTATTCATTCACCAGTCTGACATACTGAAATGCCTTCTCAGTCTAAAGATACTAAGAAAAAATTTCCTAAACTTTTCAATTTTTCTATCATCCAATGTTTAGTTCACCTTGGTTTCCTTATTTTCAGCTATCTGGTGTCTATTTGTAGATAAGCCCCTTATTTCAATCAATATCTTACATACCAGAATACCATAGAGGCAGGAATCAGTATTTAGGGAATAGACAGTTGAAAAGCATGAAGGATAAGCATCAAACAAGTGATAAGCTATCAGAAATGAATAAAAAATAGTGCTAGTAGAATCACATACTTTTTTCGCCCTCCTCTACCACTTTCATTACCCCTTCCAGATTTTGTATTACCATCAGGACCGGGGGCAGGCATTCCGGCTGTTGCAGCGGTTTCTCTTTCTGTCATAAACCATAAAAAATTAGGCTTTATTCATACAAATAAGGGGATGCAGTTGTTGTCAATTACAAATTTACAATATACTGCAACCTTTTCAGAAGACTATGAACAACAATCATAAATTATGAGTGGTACAAAAAAGAGAAAATGCAGTACCACGCCGAAGCTCCTCATCAAACTTTTTCAGATACTGATCAAGTTGTTGTATGTGTGTATCAACCTGCAACAAAATCATGAATATATTTACAAACTCCTTGAACAACAAGCCAAGAAAACTGTTCGCATTAATTTTACCGAAAATTCACGCCAATATATTCTGTTCCTCAACCAAATTTATCTTACCAAACAACATTACTATGTACATATAGCTCCTTTATCCAGCTTCCAAAATGCAAGACAAATGAGACGGAAGAAAATGAAAATAACATTAAGATCATATGTAAACCATGTTTGAACTACTATTTCATAGACAAGGGAACACCTTGGTGTAAAGAAAATCATTGAAAACACAATATTTATGGTGTCAGGATCATTTAACACCAATGTAAGTTACACTCTCAATCTTAACTATTGATCCAATTTATATCTAACAGTTATAATTTATTAGATACGTAAGCCATTAAATGCAAACAGATTAAGTCTAATACCTTTTATTCTTACGCTGATGTAAGTTATACTCTCAATCTTAGTTGTTGGTCCTATTCATATCAAACAATTCTAATTTATTAGATATATGAGCCGTTAGATCCAAATGGATCAATGACTAAGATTGGGTGTAAGTTGATCCTCCTCCATATATATATATATATATATATATATATATATATATATATATAGGACAGGATCCTTTGACACCGGTGTCAAATTTTGAAATTTGACACCAAATCCTATCCGTTGATTTTCACCAATCAATGGTTATTATTTATTGGGAATCAAACTTATTAATTACTATTAATTCTCAATAAATGATAACCATTGATTGGCGGAAATCAAATGTTAGGATTTGGTGTCAAAATTTGACACCGGTGTCAAAATTTGACACCGGTGTCAAATGATCCTATCCCTATATATATATATATATATATATATATATATATATATTGAAGAAGCAAGATAAAATTAGCAGAGTTGTCAAAGGAGGTATTACCATAAAACCACAATACCATAATCCAGGCAGATTTATCTAAGCGAAGCATTAACAGAGGTCTTAAAAAATGCATATAACAAAAAATGTGGACTACCAAATCATATGCCTGGACAGCCAAGGCAACTTTTTCATCAGCAATTCTGATGCTATGCTTTTGCTCATCAAGCGCTTCATCAGAGAATCTAATAACTGAAGTATTAGGTGTGATGTTTCCAGATCTAACTCCTCGCCTAATATCTTCAATTTCTTGTTCACAGCGCTGTTCATTTTGCCTTTGATTATCTGTTCATACACATCGCAATGCTTTATGTCACTTGGAAACCTCAAACAAAACTCGAGGTCTGATACAGTAGAAAAGAGATATGCACAACTGAAAGCTTTTTCTTTATCAACACAAGAATGGGCATTGCAGATACCGATAACAAACTGAACAAGGGTGCACCATGCCTTAAATTTAATATCTAATCACTCATTATATTTATAGGTAGCAAAATAAGTAACATATATCATATAAATGAAAATAACATTGATAGGACATGACCAAGCAAATTAACCAAAAACAAGGTCATCAAAATATCTGCTATAAACTATGGCAGTAAATTCTGATTACGAACTTAACATGATGTACCCAAATTACCATCAGACATTAAAATACCCAGTCTAACAAATGTACCTAATGGTGGAAAATGCAAAAATTCATTTTATTATAAAATTTCAGTTTATTATGATATAAAGACACACTTCTGATTCTGAGTTTCTAAATATTGAGGATTAGTACACTATATCAATTATCAAATGACTAATACAAACTGGTATCTTGCTTACTTTCACGAAAATACAGCATGAAATGTTAAATTTGATCTCAACAGTAGGTTTTGGAAACCTGGTGGATTCTAACCAAAAAATTCTGAAACTCGACAGCCTTGGAAGAAATCAAGGACAATACAATTCCATAGGAAGCTCAATATAGTTACCAGTTATCAGTTATTACAACCATTATCATACTACTGAATCACACTAGATACAAATTCTAAGAGGAAAGTATATCAGTTAACCACCATAAAGAATGACACACAGAGCCACTAAAATTGACTAGACCCACTAAAACCCATATAGAATTCTTAAAAATTTTATTGGTATTTTTTTTTTCTTATTATGATATTTGATCAAAGAACCAAAAAAAAAATAAAAAAAATCATGCTTTCATTCATATACGAAGCCAAAATAAAAATATAAAATTACAATTACCCTGTAAACTCTTATCTAGGTCACGCAACAAGGCATACTTCTTCTGAAGAATAACAGGTAGTGAATCCAAATCTGCAGAAAAAGAAGAAGAAGCAAAGTCGTTAATTAATGCGAAACAGAAAACACAATTACATAATTGAACCCTAAAATTCCTAAATTTGTGTAAAATGAAAGAGAAATCGACAAAAAAAGGACGGGGAGGAGGGAATAGATTACTGGCTTGAAATTCTTCAAGAAATGACATTAGGGTTTTGGGGAAGAACTCTCGCTCTTGAGTTCCTTTGAAAGCGGTGATAATGGGAGAAATCAATAACAGTTTGAGATTACAAAACACAAGATTGTTTCCGTGACTACTTTTTCATCATCAACCACAAACAAAGTGTGAAACTAAGCAATGAATAGAAGAAAAGGAAAAGTTTAAAAATTCCCTATTTTTGAATCACTTATCTCCATAATTTTTTTCAATTACCCTATGGTTTTTTCATTCAATCCCATCATTAACACCACACTTACCTGTTCTATTTTACCGTTTTTAGAAAGAAAAAAATAGAAGAAAAGATGAGGCTGAATATGTTTAAAACTTGCAACTTATAAAAAATGTCTAAAAGTAAAAAAGAAATAAAAATATAACAAAAAAATTAAGTATGTCTAAATTAAAAAAAGAAAATAGAATGAGGAAAAAAAATAAGACCACGTATATTCAAAACTTACAATAATAATAAAAAAGACTAAAAGTAAAAATAATAAAAATAGTCTAAAACAAAAAGAAGAAAATAGACCATGATAAAAAAAATAAAAAATAAGTAAAACCAAATATGTTTAAAGCAAAAAGAAGAAAATAGATTGAGATAAAAAAAAAAAACCAAATATGTTGGAAATTTATAAAACTGACTTCTTTTTCTCCCATGTCTTTTTTGCCCTATTTTTTTTTTATCTATTTCTTTTAACAATGATAGGAAAGACTAAAAAGAAAAATATAAAAATAGAAAAAAAAATCAAATATATCAAAATAAAAAAAATAGATTGAGGGCAAAAAAGAAAAAAATGAAGAAAAAATAAAATCAAATATATTGAAAACTTATAAGACTTATTTCTTTTTCATCATTTCTTTTATGTCTTATTTTTTCTTCTATATTTTTTTGTCTTAAGTCTATTTTCTTCTTTTTAATTTAGATTTTTTTTACTTTTATTATTTTTTGTATTGTTGTAAGTTTCTAACATATTTGATCTTATTTTATTTTTTGGTTTTCAATCTATTTTCTTCTTTTTGATTTAGATATATTTGATCTGTTTTCCTCCTATTTTTTTTTTTACTTGTAGTTTTTTTCTTTTAATTTTGTCTTTTATATCATCTGTCTACTTTCTTATTCTAAAAAGGATAAAATGAGACAAATTAATTATATTTGTAACGATGTTAAGGATGAGTTTGGATAAAAAAGACATAGGGGGTAAGTGATTAAAAAATAGTATAAGCGGGTAAGTAGGAGCGTTAACAGGCCGAGCCGAGCTTTTGTCTTAAAAGGCTAATCCTGTGTTTACATGTATCAATCTGACCAAGCCTGTTACCTATTATAAATATAACTATCGTTATGTGACCTTACTTATTTACAAAAAATAAAAGTCTGGTTTAACCTGTTTAAAAAAATTAAGACAACAAAAATTTATCCAAACAGAATATACAATCAACAACACTAGTAATTTCATAAATATTCATAATTCATTGTATATCCAAACAACATAATATAGAACAAAATCATTCAAAAAGTCTATTTAACCAATAAAATGGGTTGAAATGGATTGAAGAGAAAGATATGGCTATTACAGGTAGTATAAAAATATAAAATAATAATAATAAAAATATACTAGACCAGCTTCAGAGGCTTTAAGGTCGAGCTTTTGAATTGGAGCCTGAGGTCTTTTTATTAAACAAACTTTTATACAAGTTTAAGCTGGGTGCCAATAATCAATTTTAGACATATAAGCTCAGACCTTCACGAGCTGAGTCAAAGACCCATGGTTCATTTAGCACCCCTAGAGGTAAGTGATTTAAAGCAAAACCATAAGAAAAAAATAAATAATCTAATTGCGTAGTAAGATCGTATGCAGAGGCGGATCTAGGTTCATTAGAAGGGGGGCAAGTGCCCACCCTTAAAATATGATGCAAAAATATAAAAATATTTTTCTCTTAAAATTCAAATTTTTCCAATTGAATTTAGGGGTAGGATATTGTACTAACCAATTAGGGTTACTACCAATATTACCACCAATCAATTTCACCGTTAGATCGATTATGTTGATCCAACGGTTATATTTATTTATTTCTTTTTATGGTTATGATCCTCATATTTAATACTTTATATTTATTTTCACCTTTGTATGATTATGATTTCTCATATTTAATGCTTTTACATTAAGAGTAAATACCCAAATTGGTCCCTGACAAAAAACTTGGTACCCAAATTAGTCCCTAACAAAAATTAATTCATTGGATAGTCCCCAACAAAGACAAACAACATCCACGTTAGTTCTTCTGTTAGTCCAAAATTGACGGTGTCACTGACGGTGCTGAGGTGTAACGTTAAGGGAGATGCTGAGGGCCACGTGTCAGGATGAACAGCGTCGTCTGGAGTGTAAAGATTCACGTTGCTCAGGGGCATTTCAATAAACCCAAAAAAGCCCCTCACCTAACCGTTGTTCACTTTACCATTTCCCTCACTTGAAAGTTCGACGCTCCATTGCTGAGAAGGAAGAAGACCGTTCTGCAAACATTTGCCTGCGTTTCGAATTCAAAGTTGTTGAACAATCGGAGGGAAGCGGTGGTAGAAGGGGTTTGGTTTGGTTACTGGCTCTAGGTTTCGTTCAAAAAAGGTAAGAGAGTGGAAGTATTTTGGAACTCTTTTATATTGTTCTTTGGTATTTGTAGTCTATGGTCCCCATGGTGTTTGTGTTGTTTAATGTGTTTTTTTTTTTGCATCTCAGTGGACAATGTGGTCCATGTTTCCCTTTAGGGTTTAGATTAAAGAAATAGAAATCGGGTGGTGTGGTCCCCTGTGGTCCCTGTATGACAAAGTGGTCCATGGTTGACCCATTAACAAGCAAAAACCCCATGGAATTCGTTTAAAAAAAAAACTCAAAAATAACTTTGGTATTTGTTTATTGCTTTGTACTATTTAAGTGGTCCACATGTCTTGCCTTTGGATGATTAATGAGGAATACATTTTTTTTTTGGTTTGTGCAGATGTCTGAATATATAGTGATTGTTTATCATCATGGTGGTATTTTAATAAGAGATGAAGATGGAGTTTGACCTACATAAATGGGAGAGTGGACTCATTGCCCGAGATGGATATTGATTACTGCAATATCCGCGACCTTGAAACTCTGTTTAAGCAGTTTGGGTATGCAAAATGCAAAAAGATGATGTGGCTAAAGCCCGGTGAACCCAATTTGGAACAAGGCCTCAAACCACTTAGAACCGATTCTGATGTACGTGCCATGTGTGAGGCTGCTTTAGGTAATGACAATGAGATACATGTCTACTTTGAAGACTGAATTTCAATTCTTGAGTTTGGTTCACCTCAACCAAACAGTGCAGAGGAGGATGTGGTTAATTCCACATATAATGAGGACCATGTCCAGGGTGATGATGGGGTGAATTCACATGAGGATCATGCAAAAGGCAATGATGGCTTGAATTCACATGATGATGGGGTCAATTCATATCATCAGATTGACATGGTGCAAGGGTCAATTCGGACCATGAAGAAGAAAGTGCAGAGGATGGTGGTAATGGGTCCAAAGATGACAATGCAGATGATGAGGTTGCTTCCTCACAGTTAGATTCATATAAGAGTGCAGAGGATGAGGCATACAAGCCTCCCCCCAGGTGTTGAGGATCATTCCGAAGATGGGGATGAACACATTGTACCTTTGGTAAGGAAAAAAAGGCCTGCAAAACAGACCCCAAGGAAGAAGGCAGTCAAAAAGGATGCCACCATTGAAGACTCTGAATCTGAAGAAGTTGATGAAGAGGAAGACATAATGTCATTTGAAGAAGAAGGATATACCTATCTGTCTGAGGAATTGAGGACTCCTCGTTCAAGTGATGATGATGATGACAATGTTAGACCTGTATTGCCAAAGTTTAATGAACAAGCTTCTTTTGGGCATGTCTATTTAGAACTTGGCATGAAGTTTCTTAATTTGGACCAATTTAAAAGTGCAGTAAAAGACTATAATATTAGTCTTGGGAGAAACTTCATCTAGGTAAAGAATGACAAGGTCAGAGTAAGGGCCAAATGTAGTATTGAAGACTGTGAATGGATGGTGTATTGTGCTTGGAACACCAAGCTGAGGACATTCCAAATAAAAACTTTTAACGACACTCATACATCCTGCAGAGTCTTCCAGAATAAAAGGGCTACTCGAGATTGGGTGGCCAGGAAATTAGAGAAGAGGATATTGACACAACTCAAGATGTCAAGGTCAGAGGCATTTGAGGACATGAAGGAGGAATACAATGTGCACTTGAATTTGAAAAAAGTCAGCAAGGCTATGAAAAAAGCCAAAGGAACCATTGAAGGTTGTGAGAAAGAACAATACCGAAAACTAAGGGAATATCTTGCTGAGCTGTTGAGAAGCAACCCTGGATCCAGTTGCAAATTGCAAGTCACCCCCCAACTTATTCCACAAGCATTTCCAATACTTGACCGAATGTACATCTGCCTTGATGCTTGTAAGAAGGGGTTTAAAGCTGGTTGCAAGCCATTAATTGAGTTAGATGGTTGCTTTTTTAAGGGCTAATATGGGGGTCAGTTATTGAGTGCTGTGGGTGAGGATGCAAACAAGCAATTTTATGTGATTGCGTATGCCGTGGTTGATAGTGAGACAAAGGATAATAAAGTGGTTCTTGACCTTATTGCAGGAAGACTTAGGGGATCATGGAGTTTATGGCTGGAACTTCATATCAGATCAACAAAAGGTAACAAAAGGTAACCCAACATGAAGAAATAGTCATGACTCAAGGACGCCCCAACCCAGAGACAAGCAGCCATCATGCAACATTTGAAGCTGAACCAAGTTCAAGAGCATCAAGAGGCAGCAACCCACCTCTATGCAATCCTGCTGAGGTTGTGACCAATGAGACAACAACTACAACAAGTACTGGCACCAGGGAAAGATTCATGACCTTTATGTCTACACCAGGGTTCAGGCCACCAAGACCATCCCCTCATGAATGATTGGAATAGTCTTTAATCACTGACAATAGGCCTTTTTTTGGGATGGCTCTGATATAGGAATTGATTGGATGCTTTGTAATTAGGCCACTTTTTTGGAAATAGTTTGGTTATGGCCCTGTTGAAATGTGCTAGTTGGCTTTTTTTGTATGCCTCTGGTTATGGCCATATTAAGTAGGAACATTTTGTTTTTTTGGGGAAGTATATTGTGTTACTCTTAATGGAATTATGTCAGTTGGATTTTTTGGA